GGATTTTTATTTTTCAATTGTTTTTGTTTAAAGCTAACACTTTCCTGCAACTTCAATTCTATTTTCTGTGCCACTTAATTCTCGAGAAGATCAAATATGCACAGGCTTAAGTCTCCCTTGCTTTATGTAAATGTATTTCCTCCTGCAGATGCCTACCAAAACCTACACACGACTGCCCCAAGAATGTAATTCTTGAGAAGGATGCCTGACATCAAGAACATGTATGGATGTATTAAATTGTTGGCATGGAAATGAGTCAAATCCACAACTATAACTTTTGTCACCAGCAATCCAAAGAGTTAAATTAACTGGGTACTTCAGGGATGAATCAGACACAGGCATATACACAGGCACACTCTAGAGGTTTCAGTGCTTGTTAACAAAGTGAGTATTTTCAAGTTTTTTTTTAAGAAAACCCTGATGGTTCAAAGAACTTATGTGCAGACCTGAAATTATAATAAGCAACAGTAAATTCAGCATTATTGTCTTAATTCAGAAGAGGAGGGGAAAGCAAATGAGTGCATTAATAACTGAACAACAACCAGTAGATGTCAGCACCATTGGTGGCCTCCACAAGGGGAGGACTGGGAAAACCAGCGAGGAGTCCAGGACAAGGACTGGACCCAGCCCCAGGACACCACGCGACCATCCCGTCCCCAAAAATGACCATCAGGCCAAAGTGCCCCGCCCTCCAATTAGAGCCACACTGGTTTGCTTGATGTGCGACCATCTGGGCACAATGTATATTAGCTCCCTTCGAAAAGAAAAAGATAAATTGAGGAAGGGGTTCCTCTGGGCTGAGCCTTGACTGGATGCCTGACACCAATGCTCTGCTTCTCCCTTGCTGACTTATTATACAAAGCAAAATAAGAAAACAGTGTACTTTTAATTAGCAGTATGGATGAAAGGAGGGGGAAAAAAACCAAAAACCAAAAACCAAAAAACAAAAACAAAACAAAAACAAAACCTAAAGAAAAATAATAATAAAACCCAGTAATGCCCTCTTGCAGGGTTTATAGCCCTTCTCAGGCCTTCTCACCAACACAGTATTTCCAAGCACAACTTATCCCTCTGCCCTTAGCAGGGTCTGCTTATAGGGTTTGTGAATTCCTTTGTCTAAATCTGCCTGTATATATTTTTGCCCTCCTATATCCTTAAGAATCCACTTCCTCCCACCCAGAGGAACGGAACAGGGAATGGCTCCACCAGCTAAACATACTCTAATAGCAATATCACTGTATTTATAGGTTTTAAGGCTTCAGATTTCCCACAGAGAAATCTGTGTTTCTCAGTATGATACAAATACTCCAGCAAAAACACAAGCAGATCTAACAATGCTCAACCAGAGTAGTACAAAGCAAAAGTTTTATGCCAGTAACAGAAATCTGTCAATTAATTTCTTCTCCACTTAGTCCAAAACTAGACAGAGAAGATACACAAATTGCAGATTTTTGGGTATTTCTATGGCAGTTGATCTCACTGGCCCAGGGAAACATGAGCCCTAGGGCAATAGAAAGATATTTTCTCTGCTCTGAGAAAATGTCTTTTTTTTTTTTTTTTCTACTAATATATCATTTTGCTAAGCTCTGTCTCCCCAAGAGCCTTGCAAGATTGAGGTGCTTATTGGGGCTGTTGTTGTCCTGGTTCCCTGGTTCCCTCCTCCTCTCCAAAATGATAGCATTCAGAACACTATGTGCAATTTTAAAAATATCTCTATTGTTTTAAAAAAATTTAGTTTATAAATATTTTACATTTTATTTCTTATTGAGCAATTCTTATTAGAAAGCCCCCAGTCCAAGCCAATTCATCTGCTAAAGAACAAAAATGGTGTCTGAAGAATCCAGTGTCACTTGTGAGATGGACCTTTGCTCTGCCCAAGACTCCATGGGCCTGCCAGCCCCAGCCCCTTTGGTGCAGCAGCACCAGCTTGGTCTCATGCTCAGAGGGGCTCTGGAGAGGCTCCCCCATCCTCACTCCCACAGCACCCCAGCATCCAGGGACCCCAGGTCCTCCTCAAACTCCTCATTCATGCAGGGACCTGGTCATAGCCATGTTCAGCAAAACCCAAGCTTTACAAAGGAACTGCAGAGCGTGAGGCACAGCCACCGTGCTCACAGAGAGGCATTTTGGGAATTACCTACAGCAGCCTTCCTTGGTGCAGTGTTTAACAGGGAGCTGCCTCTCAGCTCCCAAATGCCATTCCACGCTCTGACCCAACAGGAGTCCACCCTTGTTAGCTGGACTTTCAGCCTGCTCCCAGGACACACATTTTTGCAGAACTTGGCAGGTTCCTACAGAGACTGCCCAGCCCTGGCCTGCACTGGTGGGTGGCAGCCCCTTTGTACCTAGAGCAGCCACCTCACACGCCTCCCCTCAACCGAAATTCAACCCAAAAACATCTTCCTGCCCCAGTCACACTCGGTCCTTCTGTGTCACAGCCCTGAACCCAGCACTGGCTCTGCATGATCCCACTCTGAACGTGGTCACATCACCCTCCACTTGTGCCAAGGCTACCCCTGGCCTTGAGCAGCAGTGGGCTGGGTGGATCTACACTGGCTGACCTTTATCCATGTGTGCTTATAAATCATGATGCTGTTGCATGAAGTCCCAGCACCCAAGTTCTTCATGTACAACACTGGTTCTTCTCTGCAGCAAAGCTGCCTAGCAGCTTTTCCTCCATTAACAAGTTGGGTTAATCGACTTGCACTTTTCACAGCATTAACAACATTAATAAGATCAGTCCAGACAGCTACCTTAAAAGTAACTAATACTCCAAAATGCAGAGGATCAACAAAATGATCAGAGGGATGCAGCACCTCTTCTACAAGGAAACACTGAGAGAATTATTCAGACTATAAGCCAAATAGACACTGACTCTGCTAATACAATTAATCAGATCTTCCTCCAGAAATGCCCAAGCCTGATGGTTTTCAATGACACGCACACTGTCAGCTGTCACATCCTTGGCTTACTTGGTGCAACTCAACGCACACCCCACCTGCCAGTCTCAGCCTTCCAGGATGACAGGAACTGCTCTCACCCCCACTTCATGGACAAGCAGACAAAATAAGAATGATACCTGCAAAGCTTCTTGAGACTTCTACTCCCCCTCATTCTATTGCAAGCTGCTCTGAAATATACTGCCAGGTAAAACCTTGATGAACAGCAGTTGATGTGGACTTAAAAGTGTGGGTACATGGCCCACTTCCTCCTCATTATCTGCAGATCAACACGCCCAAGCAGATGGGGCAGCACCACAAGCATGCCACGGACACCACCGTGCACTCCGTGCACTAAAATGGGCAAGTGCAGAGCCAGAAGAACAATGTCACACATGTTTTGGTATATGGTACCCAAGTAAGAAGATAAATTCTTCCCAGCTGGGCTTCTTTCACAGTGGACCAGGGCTTCCTTCACATGCTTCAGGGACTTGTATTCATGAAGTCTGCTGCAGCGGGCAGCTCCACTGTTTTCCCATTCCCATATCCTAGCAGTGTGATGCCCTGTCCTTAGAGAAGAGCCCGAGAGGCAATTCCACACTGCCCATGTGGTGCCCAAGACAGGGGTAGCAGTGTGTTTCCTGACTTTCTATCCAAATGACTTCACCTGTAAGAAGCCCACAGCAAAAAGCCAATTAATTAAAGCCACCAATTTTTAACTTCGCTGTTTTCAAGCTCCTTGTTTTTCCTGAAAACCACAACCATACTGCGTTTTCAGTCACCACTTTCACGTTTCAAAATTCATCTGGCTTTTATTTCTACAGTACCCATTTAACAAGAACACAAGCATTTAGTGATAGCAAATTAGTACCAAGATTTAGGAATATCAGTCTCTAGGAAAAAAATCCAGCTATCAATATTTGAGATAATACATAATTACTGTAATGCACTAAGATCTACCTGAATCATCTGGATCCAAGTTCTCCATCTTACTTTCTCTTACTTTCTTCTTGTATTTCAACAGCCATTTTGCAACAAAAAAATGTTCATATAAAATTCTGTGAATTTATTAAAAGGGGGAAAAGGGAGGGATAGGCAATCATTTGCACACACACCTAAGAAAAAGTTAAAAATATGGTTTATTTGAAATAGTGAAAACAAAATCCAATAAATAAAGTGTTTAATATCAACACTGGACACTATGTAGGAAAACTCTGGTAAGACTGGATTGTTCCCTTGGTGCCCCAGGCATGGATGAACCACAAAATGATTTCCCAGCTTCTCACAGCCAAGCTGCTTACTCTACAATCTTTCCCCATTCATGGCATTCAAGCCTTCCTCAGATGCATACTGCCAAACCCCATCCTGGAGTCTCATCAGAACCAGCAGAACTGCTCCAAAGATGGCAGGGCTCACAGGGCAGAGGTGCAAGAGCAAGATTAAGTGCCTACATTTCAGGACTTCTAGAATGCATCCCTCTTCCTCACCCACAACCCTCTGAACAGGTTTAATGAACTGGCCCAGTATATATATATATATATATATATATATATATATTTAATTTTTAATGGGCTATTAAAAGGCTATAAGAACACAGTTTCTTAATCACTTTTTGGGGTAGGGCATGCAACTGATCCCATAAATATTGTTTATGTTTGTTTAACACTGCTATTAAATTACTAGGTTTTTCCAAATAGCAGGTTCTCTCTAAGTAACCATATGTTACATACACATTAAAACTCTTTGAAGCAATAAATATGAAAATATGAAGATTTTATCGAAAATATAACTCCAAACAACTTATAAAACCTCAGGCAGGAAGTCACCAAATTCTGCTAAAAATGTCTCACACCCTTTCAGAAATAGCAATAAAACATTCTGTATCTGCTTTAGAAAGTGCCTATGGCACAGGGCAAAAGTCTACTTACTACCTTAAAAAATAGAAATAAGCTTGGGCATATCACCCTTTCCTTCTAACACTGACACAACTGAACTTTATTTTTTCCTTCTTAGAAAGGAAGGTAGGGAGAGTGGGATGAAGAGGAGGAAATAAAACCAACGCATCTTACAGATTATTTATTATGTAACTGGCTGTTGGTATTGGAGACACTCTTTGACAAGCCAGATGAAAACAAGCATATCCAGAAAGGACACACACAAGGCCTCGATGTGGCCACCAGTTTGTGCGCTTCAACTCAAATGAACCTTCCCAACAGCTCTTCTTTATTCTGCAACAGAGATGTTAGTCCATACTGAAGTTAAGTCTGTTTGGGTGTGATGCTCTCTATAGGCCAACAAGAATCAATCACTACATGAATATCATGGGCTCAAGTACCAATAGTTGAAAGTCTTGATGCTACCGATTCATCCAGGTTCAGTTTGTACCATTTCTGACCCAAGGGACTTCACGCCAGGGATCTAATTTGCTGGGGAGTAGGCTCTACTCAGTTACTACCTCATAAAACAGCAATTTAAAATGTCAGATTTTTCACCAAGTTTGGGTGATATTTGGATAGGGCTTCTACACATAAGTGACATGCAGAGAGGTCATATACTCCATGTATCAAAGCAATGTGACACTCTCCAAAGTAGCTTTGTTTTTTGAAAAAGAAAATAAAATCAATGCTGCTTTGAACAATAGGTAAACAACCAGGCTTCAACACCAAATGAAAAGGATAAACACTTCTGGTTAGCAAGATCTATTTAACAGATAACACAACCATTTCAAGTCTGTTCACTGTAACATTTCAATGAGCACCCAAAAGCCCCTCATGTTAATACTCAGCAGGAGCCACAGATCACCAGACTTAACTGGCACAGGTATTCTGACCAAGGAAAAAAACACAATGTCATGTATTTCACAGCTACCAGTTCCCTGGGAATTTGAAAGGACAATTAATGTAATGGTCACAATCACTTCTTCAGCAGATAAACCAAAAACAGGTAAAAAATATCAGGAAATTACAAATAATCAAATCAATATTTTTCACATAGTTTAACTTGCTATTTTAACCCACATTACACATTTTATTTAGAAAAAATGACACTGCAGAAAAATAAAATTTGATTTTAACAAGAACAAGGGTTTTACACGGTGGTATAAAAAATGTAATAGGAGCCTGGAGGGGAAGAATAAGTGGAACAAAACACAACAAAAACCACAAAGCAAAACAAATAACAAACAAACAAAAAACAAATACAAACAAACAAAACCCCCCCCCACAACACTACCCCCAGGGAAGGTAAAAAGCTAAAACAAATTCCAGATGTTTAAGTCTGAAGGTTTTAGCTTTTAAAATACACAACTACGTGTGCCTTTCACAATAACAGCCACAAGTGAACGATACTTTTTGTATTACTGCACCCTTCAACAGGCCAGTCTGCAAGTTAAAACAAACAATATAATAAACTGCTAAATTTTAAGTATGCAATTCTGGATTGCTTTTAGCTGTTATAAAAATCTGGGCTACATATCCAATGGTCCATCTTTTAAATTCAAACTGTGCTTAATGTTTTTTAGTTCAGACATACTGAAACCCATCAGCACAGATGGTTTGTGATGTTTTACCGCCTTTAAGCATGTATTCCTCATTTTTCCGAAGAATGATGCAACATCAATTTTCCATGCATATAGCAGCAAGGAAAGTAATTCCAGCTCTTTTTTAGAAGGATATGGCCTCTTGTGAAAGTAGTCTGACAAAAACTGTTTCTGTGCCTCATATGAATTGTGATCATACTGATTAGGATCTACTGCTAGAAAGCGGAGATCCTCACTAGAAGGAAGCTTCCTCATCTCAGTCCTAATCTTTTGTCGTTTAAAAGGCACTACCCCTGAATTCACTTTGTTCTCTGCAGACAGAGCTATGCCATTACTTAAGCTCAGAGGCTGCTGTTCCTTATTCCTTTGGTCTTCTAAAACAAAGCAGGAATCTGATTGCTTTCTTTTCAGTACCACAGAAAGATTCTTCTCACCATTCACAAACAGCAGTTCTTTCCTCTCAGTGCGCTCAAGCTGCATCTTCAGGCTCGAGTTGGTGTCTTTGGGAGCACTTCTACAACGGAGCAAATGTATAGCAATAGCTGTCAGAGTCATATTTCCAGTGTACACACCACAACAGTGGATGCACTTGAAAGCGGGAGACTTTAAAATCGTATGCACAGTTGGCATTATATGATGCCTCTCTTTCAAATGCTTTTCATAGGTTTCTCTACCAGCAAACGTACCTAAGCAAAAGGGACAGGTGAACATTTTTCTGGTGCATCTCCTGTTCACTTGTGCTGTCTGAGGTTTCACTTTGATGTAAACAGGGACAAGAACTGTTGAATATATTCCAACAAGCACTGCCAAATGCACTTCTCTTTCACCCATGTCTTCATCTGGTAGCACTGTGTTGAAATCAAAGTGTGGGAACACAAGGCCACCCTGAGCATCACTACCTAGCTGAATTCCTCTGTTGCTGTAACTTGCATGCAACTCCTTTCTCTCATTGTGTGCAGTTTTGTTGTGCTCCACAAGGCTTTTTAAGTCATAGAAAGTACCTGTGCAAAACAAGCAAGATAAGCCATGCATGAAGATATGCTTCATGAGCTCTTCCTCACATAGAAAACATTTACAAGCGTAACACCCGATCGCCTTTTCCGTCATCCTCAGAAAGGATGCACAAGCTGCAAGTTTGTGAGGTTCTGGGGTTTCTACTTTTACTTCAAGTGGTTTGTGGGCCACCTCCATGTGCACCTCGTAGACATTTGAGGGGAAAAGCTCATTACAAACAGGGCAGGTCTTCCACTGCTTGGCCTGTCTGACAGCTTGGCTTGTTTCAGGAGCAGGCGGGGAGGCCTGCAAGGATACATTGTCAGAGGTCAGAACCACAGGAGGAGAGGGAGCATTGGCTGGTGACTGGGACAGCTGAGACACTGATCCTGTCTGCATGAGCTGGATGGGCACTTGCGGAGGTGTCACAGTAGCTACTCCACCACAGGGAGAAACAGGCAAAGTAACAGAGACGGGAGCCAGTGTGAAAGTAGGTATCCCATTAACCTGCTTGCCAGTGGGAATCAACTGCCTCAGTACAGAGCCTGCAGTCAAAAAAGCTGTGCTTTGAGAAACCGGAGGCTGAACTGGTTGATTTACTGGGATAACTGCTGGGGAAACAGGTTGATTAAGCTGAAGGAATCCAGGTCCAACAGGCTGTCTAACAGGAACCACCCCAGGAGCAAGAGGCTGGTTAAGCTGGAGAAGACCCGACCCAACTGTCTGCGTCACTGGAAGGACCGTGGGATCGATGGGTCTGTTCATGTTCCCAAGTGGCTGGCTGACAGACAGAATTCCTGGAGCAACTGACTGATTCACAGGGAGGACTCCTGGTGCAACTGATTGACTCACAGGGCCAACAGGTTGAGTAGCAGGGAGCGTTCCAGCTGGAAGCAGAGTGTTTATAGTTCCAATAGTTTGATTAACAGGAAAGAGTCCAGGCCTGACGGGCTGATTAAGAGGAAGAACCGCAGGGGCCACAGCTCTACTTATGGTCCCAACAGAATGATTAAGTTGGAGCCCATGAGAAACAATGACAGCCTGCGAAGGCATACCAAGGTTATTCTGAGCCACAGGAGGATTGCTGGGCACAAGAGTGACCTGCGAAGATGTAGCAGCAGGAGCATAGGTGGTTTTCGGGAGGCTGCCAGAGGCACTTGGGATAGTCACTGGTCCAATTGTGTTCTGAACTGCTTGTGTGTGCACCATGCTCTGGTTTTGATTATTCTGTGGAAACGCAACCTGGATGCAAGCTGGAGCTGTCACAGAACCTGCTGGGACAATGACAGGCCCTGCAGATGCTGCTGCTACAGGGGCAGCTGCTGCTACACCTGGGACAGGCTTTGGAGCAATATGCATTTGTTTCACAAGTCCAGGCTTCTTAATACGTTCTGAAATCAGAGAACGAAGTTTGTTCTCCAGGTCTCTGTGTGTTTCAGCTGTCAAGACATGGTACATTAAAGAATCTGGGCTGTTTGCAGGAGCATTACATTTTTTACAGTAGAACTCAACTGAATTTGGCGTACTTTCATCACATTTCTCACCAAAATATGCACTTAGCAAGTTTTCAAAATGGTTTATCAGCACGTGTTTCTTCATATTGTAATACAAGGTGTCTGTGAATTGACATTTTAGACAAGTGAAATTTATGATGTCACTCCTAAATTGTTTCATGCCATCCAAAATGCTGACTGTATAGTTCTGTATTTGTTTATTAAACGAATGGAACATCCACATGTGTTCTCCCACTACTTTGGGATGAGAAGAAAATGCACATTTTGGGCAAGAAACCACCATCTCCTGGTCCATTTCATCCTCATGGTAACGATGCAAGTGATTCTTGAAAGAAGTAAGCAATTTGAATGACAACTTGCATAAGCCACAGCAGTATGGCTTTGTTCTGTATCTCTGCAAACAAAAGAAAAACATCCACTTAGAAACTGTCAATTCTTATGCCACTGGTCTCTGTTTAAATCTGTACTATCACCTGTCAAAAAATGCCTTCACTGGATGTAGAGCATGTATGTTCTCAGTTTCCTCTGGTTTTGAAAAGCAAATTTAAAGATTACTTAGTTAAGGGGAGAAACATTTGTGCATTTTTTGTTTCATTATAATTTACTAAGAAGTGTTAAATGAGTTTACTTCTACCCTAGTTCACAAGAAGCAATTCTGAAGCCTGTCTGTTTTTAAATACAGGAATCACAGAACAAGATGGGAAGAATTTGTATCCCCACTGTACACAGAAGTTAAGCCTTAGGAATTAGGAATTACAGCCCTTTTAATATGACACTTTTAAAGCTTTGTTTAGTTCAGGGCCAGCTCCCATCTACTGGACAAAAACACAAAAAACAGAACAGGGAAGAACTTTTTTTCTGTTTTTTAATAACCTATTCTTCACTGAAAACTCTCCAGACCTTCCCAACAAAGCCACAAACAATGATTTTTTAAGAACATTCTTTTGGAGTCAAAATAATAATAGAAAGTAGTAAAACTCCCTTTTATGATAAAGCAGCGATTTATTAACTCATATATACAATTTATATACTGGGCATTCCAGTATTTTTCCTCAAAAAAAAATTTCCCAAAAACACTCAGTATAGAGCATACATATTCCTCTCAGAAAAGTATTTTAACTGCTTAAGAACACATTTACCTTGCACTAAGCAGAGGTCTGCTCCCTCAATTATATGTCACATGACAGCACTGTTTTTCATATCCATATGAACATTATTTGATCTTTCTGAAAAACTGGTAGCCCCATAAAACATTTTTTCCTGATAAACTTCCTAGGAAGTTAATCCTGGCTCCTGCCAAAAACTACAGAATCAGTCATAGCAACATCCATGTGACAAATCTGTACACTCAAAAATCTAGTGCACTCTGTCTCTTCCCTCAGACATGTTTTTCACCTCACTGATTTCTGCGCTCATGAAACAGAACCAAAAGGGAACAAAGTGTTCTGCCACTACAGCATCCAGCCCTGTCAGATCATCCACATACATCTCACTGACACACCATGACACAGCAACACAACATGTGCAGGTTTGGGTTTTTTTGCCATATCATATAACCATGCAGGTTACAGTCAGCCATTTACAGACAACAGGCAGCCATCTCCTAGGAGTATTAGGAGAGTCTCCTGATGATAACCAAAATCTGAGCTCCCAATTCAAAAGACTGGGTCAGACAATGCCACTGGCTGGCTAGGCCAGCCACTGGCTGAAGAAGCACACTGCTAAGCTACCACTGAATTATCTTCTACTTATACTCTAGGTGTCTAACCTTAGCTGCTAGCAAACAGCAACAAAGCAAATTAGCAGATGCATCAATCTTGAAGTATCCCACCTAGAGAAAGGCCACTGACATTAATGAACTAATGAAGCAAGCAAAATATTACTAGAAGATACGCCTCACTACTCCTGGAGGAGTAAAATAACAAAGGAAAAAATTCCAGACAATTCTCTTTCAGCTGAACAGAAGCAGGTGGAAGTATGCTACTTTGATATTCTCTGTATGAAACAGAGCTCTTCCACACACTTTACAAACCATTCTGCCAGCATGTTCTCCTTGCATACTCATCTGCTTTTTCTGTTCACTCTGCTTTTTCAGGCTCACCACAACCTACCAATGGCATGCCAGTTTTATAGAAAATTGACAAAATAAGAATTACAAGTCACTTAGGAAAAACAAAGCATCTTGGAGATTGACCAACACAACCTTCAACTGCATAAATGTAATCCAAAAGAAGGCTTATTAGAGACATTGCAGTAAATTCAATTAACCTTCCTTTAAAGAACCTACCCAAGAACATAGTAATACTTTCTGTTGAGCAGTCTCACATTCTCCACAACCTAGAATCACGCAGAAAGACAAGACAACCTCCAAAAAACAAAGTTCTGCCAGAACTGTTAATGTCTCCCTAAAAATAGTACAAATGGTGGAAACCACCAACTTCACTTACACAGACATCTTCTCCAGCCTGCTAAGTTTATAGAAGGAAACAATTTATTTTCCCCTTATGGCAACAACTTTGGAATAGAACATCCTGAAGGACCAGCTTCTTTTCTCCCAAATCTAGACAGCATGATATGTGAATAATATGCATTAATAAACCAAAATTGTTTAAAGAAAAATTGTAAGAACAAGGCTAGTATCCAAAAGACACAGTTTGGAATACAGTCTGTTCCACAGCAACGTGTTATCAATTCCACACTGAATTTCATTGACAGGTGTTCCATGAGAAGGCCATGAGGGGCCCCAAGACTCTTCAGCAAGACCGACAAGTCTACATTCTTTTCTGGACATACTCCACTGCTCTATACACAGCATCTTAGAAACTTGCTACTATATAAAATTATAGAATTGCTCACCTCAACCCTGCCTCTCTTGTCGAGTCTAGCTATACAGAACTAAAAGCTGTTTCACATACACAAATATAACTGGAGTTTTCCACTGGCCACCCTACACCAAGCCACTAATAATAATTTCATCTTAATCCACCTGCATCTATGCAATCACACTTTCACCCTTCCAATAAAATGGGAGTCATGTTGTACAGAAGACCATGCTAGGACTACATATTAGGTTAGGCTAAAAAGACAGAATATTAGTGTGACATCTTAAACACTGATGTTCAGGGTTGTATCCTTAAAGACTGAAAATAGTAACTTGATGTCCTCATAACCACCTGCATTACAGGGAAAAACAAAGAGAAAATGTAAGATTATTCCCTGACTAATAGCACTTGGAAAACAAATATTAAAGCTATTTTCTTCCATAAAAAAAGCTGCATTCCAATTTCTGAAAGCTGTCAAATTCAGCAACTCCACACAACATGTTTATCCAGAATTTGTGTCACAAACATACATACCTTCCTTTTGCCCACAGGCTCCCAAGGAGAGACATCACTCCATGAAGTGTTACGAAAGTAGTTTTCACCTGCATCAAAACTTTTAAGATTCTAAAAGTAAAATAAAAACAAGAAATGAAAATCAGCAATTTGCAGTCTATTCTGAATATAAAGAAATTCTCAATAGGCAATATGGAAAAATAAAAAATAAAACCACACAAATAGAGGGTTACTTGGAAGTCTCCAAACTCCATTCAAATAAATTACTACTTTGATCAGCTTTGATTTATTTTACCTCAAGTATTTGTTCATGTGACTGCCTGGTAATAGAGCAGGAATTCTGAACATTTCATAATTACTGAAAATAATACTGGGAGTGAAAATATTTACACGTGAATTCCACTGCATCCAGCCAAGTTCACAGTGAACACTCAAAGTATTTTTCCCCTCTACCTTCCTCCTCCCTCATTGGTAATATTTCATTGTTTACTTCATTGCTTTATTAACTTACCACTACAGTTTAATTTGCAACAGGTTTTAGTATTAAATCTGTATAACATTGTTATACCTCTAACTTGGAAAAAAACAAAAAACATTCACAGAAGCTGATTTCCAAGAGCTGCTTTCCTGAAGCTCAAAAGCAACAAGATTACTGTGTCTGCAACAACTGTGTCAGGGAAAGCAGCTGTTCTTACAGCCTTCTTTTAATTAATCTTATCAGAGCAGTTCCCCCAAGCCAAAGGCAGCTACTCTTCTAAAAATACTAAGTTCATCTCCAGATTTCTAAGACCTACACATATTTAAATACAAATTTAATGTGAGAAAAAAAAAAATAAATAAATAAATAAATAAATAAAAACCCAAGATAGATTCCAATTTACTAGGCATTTCTGAAGACCCTAAACTAGATTCAACAGCACATCCAGAATGCCTTCGATGGAACGCAGGCTACAGATCCAAGCTTTACACATAGAAAACTTGCATCTCTTCTCCCCTCACATTCTTCCTTTTCACAAATCTCTCTTCACTCAAAACTCTGCAGATACTTAGAAAAAGCATGATTTCATCTCTTCACCAAACACCAGTAACAGCAGAAGCAGGTACCAAATAACATTTAAGATGACCTTACAAAAGGAGTGGAATTCATAAACCTAATAGTTTGTATAATGTGAAATTTAACAGCAACACAGAATATAGTCAGCAACAAGGAGCAACAAAGCTTCAACAATCAAAAAAATACAGAATTCTACTTAATGCAGGTTCTGTCTGCACTAGGCTCTTGTCCATTTGCACCCTGCAAATAGAACCATCCCTACATGTTCAGCAGATTACAGTAAGCCAGAACATCATGCCAGTAATAATTTGATTTTAACTTCATTATTCAAGAATTTAGAAACACGTAGCAGCTGAGTTTGCAATATGCTGTCTACCTTTTCAACCATCAAGTATGCTCAAAGAGAAATCGGACAAGCTCAGGGCAGCAATAGACAAATACCCTGCAATCTAATCAACCCTAGACACTGAATAAGTAATGTACCTGCCCTTCAACCAACAAAACAAAACAAAAAAAAAACCAAAAAACAACAACAAAACAAAACAAAACCAAAAAAACACCCAATACAAACCACAAAAATACCCCAAAAATACCCCAGGAACTTAGAAAAACCTCTTGCAATGCAACAAGCGAAATCTTAGAACTTTAGTGAACTATTTTTGATAAGAGAAAATAGAGCCACTTGAGATTTACTAAAACTTTTTCTGCCAAACATGCTGGAATGAATTACACACTGTTAAAAAAAGTTTTCTTAAAGTTAATGGCTTATCTGAAACATGTTCTGTTTTTGGTTTGAGTGACGGGCCCTACACTTAAACACCAGATTCTCACAAGCCAAACACATGAAATACAACTAGATAATTTTGCTAAAATTAGCTATTTCCTACAGAGGAATAACCTTTCTTACCTATACTATTCTTCAGTGGTGGAAATGGCTGCTGTGAACACTTGCTTTAAAACAAAGGTCCACTAATTAGCTATGCCCTTTCCACATTTCTCGCTTTCAGGAGGGGACAAAAAGAGAAGGGAAAGGTAACAAGAAAGGAACAAAGCCCTCTGAGAAACCTGACTAATCCTGATGCATGATAGGTATTTTGAAGTTGAAGAGAAAAACATTTTTAAACTAACAACTGTTCTCCCCTCTGTATTAAAACTACTACAGTTTTCCTTAAGAAAAACATAAAAAGGTAAGAGTTTAAAAGAAGACAGAGAATCATAGAAGAGAATCATGGAATGGTTTGGGTTGGAAAGGACCCTACAGATCATCTAGTTCCAGCCCCCCCATCGTGGGCAGGGATGCCACTCATTAAACCAGATTGCCGAGGGCCACATCCAACCTGGCCTTAAACGCTGCGAGGGATGGGGCATCCAAAGCTCCTCTGGGCAACTGTCACAGTGCTTCAGCACCCTCTGAATAAAGAATTTCTTCCTAACACCTAATCTAAACTTATGTTCTTTCAGTTTAAAACATCACTGCCCCTTGTCCTGTCCCTATCTGTCCATATAAAAAGTCTCTCTCCTTCCTTTGAAAGAGCCCCCTTCAGGTACTGCAGGGCTGCAAGGGAAGTCTCCCCAAAGCCTTCTCTTGTCCAGGCTGAACCCCAGCTCTCTCAGCATGTCTTCAGCTTCAGAACCCAAGTGCTCCAGCCCTCTCATCACCTTCATGGCCCTAAAGACCACAGTATGGTAGAGAAGCTGGAACAGTGTTTTAAAGGAAAACCTCTGACCTTACAGTGTACTTAAACACACTACTTGGAGAATCAAACTATTACTCCAGACAAAATGCTTATGTTTTCTTCCTAGCAGAGATCAATTAGCCTAAAACCTTATCCTTTTGGTCTCTAAGCTACAGAGAGGTACTAGTCATACATTATATTCCTTCACCTTCCTCACCAACTATTGTCCATTATCCTGCCTTATTGCAACAGTGCAAAACCAGATTCAAGTCATGTTTATAGCATATCATATTTCGATCCATTTCTTACATTGTCCAGCCCCTTCATAAAGAGTCCAGAAACCAATCTAAATATTTGAGAAAACAAACTTTAGGTACTTCTCACTAGATTGTTTTCAAGGTGCTTTCAAATCCAGGCCCTTCTACAATTCTAAGTTTTATTAAAACCTCACACTTCCGATCCTAGCAAAAAAAATATCAACATCATATGAACCAAGTACAAATCAAGCTATAGAAACCATTCTTCCTACTGCTAAAGTTGTATCAAAACCAGCCCCAGATTACCTGGGAAAAACAAACTGAAGTTATGAACTTGGTTGAGGGAGAATTATTTGCAAAAAAACAAAATATGGTATTTTCTGGCACAAATGTCATAGAGGTTTTTCTACAAATGTTTGCTGGGTTTCCCACCACCATTTTTCACTTAAAAATGAAGCAAAACCAACTAAATGTGTATTATACATACCGCCAAAAACTCAATTAAATACAAAGCAATTTATTACTTATTTACCATTGAAGTCCATGCAACAAAGAGACCACAAGCAATTTCATAGTAAAAACCTGTCACCATCAAAACATTCCTGCTTCCAATAGTCAAGACAGACTCAGCTTCTGAGTTAGAACTGTGATTATAGAATAGTAACAAAATAAAAACAGCAAGTAAATGGAAATTAGTAGACATTATGATTTTCCTTGAGCTGTTACAATGTTTAAATATATACAAAACTGTACAACCGCAATAACAAAGACTGTTCCAAAATCAGTTATGCATGTAGTCTTGAACATTTTTCTTCCAATTACTTACAGAGTATCATAAAGAAACCATCACAAAATACAAAACAGCACCCTTATAGAGTGTTAAACCTACTTTAGTACTGCCATACAGATGCAATGAACCTCCTGTCAATGCGAAGGTATGCATGTACTCAACAGCCACAAAAGCCTCTGCACCAGCTCACTGAAATACACTATTTTTAAGAAATGGAGTTACATTGCTGTGTTTGCACCTTTTCTGGTATTACGTTTGCCAGTCTGATGGTGTGCATTCTTCCTGACCAATGCACAAAATTTTCTCCTCGAAGTGGCAACAGTGGTACAAGAGTTATCTTAATCACCCCAGTACACCTGCATATACTTTTTAAAATACAGAACCAAACTACAACTCAGTAAGATAATTTTGGTATTTTTCACCAGACACCAAGTTTGAAGACTTATCAATTTTCAGAAACTTAGATGATTTGTATGTCCCTTCAGAAGCTTGCCCTTCATATGTGGGACGGGATGTCTTTGAGGAGACTCATCCCTATCTGCCTGAAATCTCAAAAGAATTGAAGAGTTGCGGCATAGCACACAAATAACAATTCATCAGTCTACGGTATTTTTCCCTAAAGCTGTACTGTTTCTTTTTGTGGAAACATTACTAACAGAATATGTGGCACCATCTATGACAGATATTTGTCAGGATTTTACATTTCAGATTAGTTTACATTCTTTCAAATACTTTACCTTCAACAATTCCCTGCAGCTGTCAAGCCCAAGATCCACAAGAATGTCCTTTACCTTTTTTCGAGCCTTCCTTACATTATCAAGGTTTTGAACAGGAATTTGAAACATTTTGCACTTTTCCTGGGGAAAAAAAACAACATCACAACCAAAAAATAAAGAAGAAGAAAAAAAAGAGGAAAAATGAAAGAGAATGAAAAAAGGGACTAAATACTTGAACACAGGCAATAGCATTTAAGTGTATTAAAATAAGAACTAAAATCTGAAAAGTCATAGAACAGAAATATTTCCGTTAGAAAAGACCGCTAAGATCATTGAGTTCAAACATTAACCCACCTCAATCATTACCCATGCCTCTCATCACTACACCTATGTGTCTTCTAAATACCCCCAGGAATGGGGACTGAGCTACCTCCCTTGCCAGCCCATTCCAGTGCTTGGCAACCCTTTTTCAGAAGTTTTTCCTAATATCCAATTTAAACCTTCCCTGGTGCAACTTGCTCTTTTACTGTAACTTGCTATTTGGGGGAAGAGACCCACCCCAACCTAGCTACACCCCCTTTCAGGCAGTTGTATAGTGGTAAGGTCTCCCCTTAACCTCCTTTTCTCCAAGCTAAACACCCCCAGCTGCCTCAGCCACTTCTCATTGGACTTGTGCTCCAGACCTCTCCCCAGCTTCACTGTCCTTCTCTGAATTCACTCCAGGTCCTCAATGTCTTTCCTGAGGGGCACAGAACTGGACACAGCACTTGAAGTAAGGCCTCACTGTGCCTAGTACAGGGTCGATCACTGCCCCAGTCCTGCTGGACATGCTCTTGCTGACATGGGCCAGGATGCCATTTATTAAGTATGAAAACCCAAAATCCTTAAGCCAAAGAAGTGGGCTCATTAGCATTTCCCAAGTAGAACCCCTGACTGATTTTAAAGGAAACAGAATCTAATGGGGAGGAGGGGCGGGCAGGAATTCTTTGTATTTCCTCTATCTACAGAAAATTCCAAATATTTCTTTCAAATCTCCTTGTATCTACGTGGCAGGAACATTGGTTTTGTAGGGTTTTTGCAAAAGAATATGAACACCAGAGTTTTATTAAGTTCTATTCAGAAAATTACTATAATATAAGAAATTCCACACCTTTCACCTTAAATCCTAGCATCAAGATGAGAAGTCTCTGATATTTTTCTTTGCTGTCAAGCATGTACATGCTTAAAATATGATTGCTAGTAAAATCTAGATTTCCTGCAGAAGCTTCTACTTTTGTAAACTTGTAAGGTATCTCCATAGGCTCAGCTTTAGAAGTTAAAGTTCAGCCTTTGTCAACTTCTTCCTATATTACAGCAAGATGCAATTTAGACTGAGCTTTAAGAAACTACAATGAACACAAAACCTAACCCTAAGCCTGCACTGAAAAAGGTCACTGGAAGCTTCTCCAGTATTTGATGCTTAAATAGCTGACAGAGTATCCAGGAACATTTATAACATCTTAGTCCTTACTGCTAAACAATTCACCCATCCAGGACACATTTGTACAGGAAAAAGAACAAATACTGAAATAGAGGAATTCTCCAAACAGTTCTTTAGCACATACAGTCTCAAATGTCTTGAAAAACTGTACTTTACCAAAAAAGCAAACTCCCTGCCAACATGAAAGCTCTACTTTGAATGATGACTTTCATGCAAATAGTTGCAAAATCCCCTTGCACATAAGACACCAGCTACAAGCTAAGCCTCAAAACCAAAATCCTCAAAACCCACAAACCATATAAAAAATATTCTGTTCTGTATGTAATCACCCCAAACCTTAATATATGTACAAAACATACAACTGATGGGTTTATGATTAAAATTCATACAACTCACATACTATTCTTTGCTTCTTCTCCCTTGAAAGGAAAGGTGTGGAGAGAGAAATGGAGAGGGAACCCCATTTGACAGATGCTAGTCTTGTTTTCTAATGTTTTTTATCATCAAGAAGTCCAGAAGACATTCTGATACCATCAGGGTAGATGTAGAACAGGAACCTATACAGAATGGAATAAATCAGAGTAAATGGTCTGACAATCTCTCAAAATACAATGAGCAAAAATCTGACATAAAATATTCTTTTTAAAGTGAAGTCCACCAGGAATTTGCAGAGTCCCTAGTTAAAGCTTTAAGATCAGTCCCTCTATGACAGCAAGTTATTCACATCAACCCCACAGTCCAGCGCAGTTTAACAACAGAGCTGTCTGGACACCACCATGCCCAGTGGTGATTAGCTGGAAGGAAATACATTAGGTTCCACTGGAAACAGCTTCCCCATCTCAGTCTTCCAACTCATACACCGATGCTACTAAAGAAGGTGAAGCGGGCATTTGTTGAGGCATGTCTAGCTCACAAATAAGAAACTGTCTATAGGGGTGTAGTATGCAACATTCATGTACCTCAAAGTTCTCTTAACCAGTAATCATTCTGAAATTATTAATGCAGAAGAAAAAATTAAATAAAATTATTAATTATCCTTAAATTATTAATCCAGGTGAAAGAAAAACACACCAAAACCTCCACCATAGCAGAAAAAAACTTGAATATAAATTATTTTCCAGTTTTCAAAGAGTTGGTCTTCAATCCAAAGGCCATCATGTGCAATCACATGCAATGTTATTCAGTAGGTATTTAAACAACCTTCTTGGGAGTAAGGATCTTAAAGGATCTTGCACCACAATCACAGAACAGTATGGGTTAGAATGGATCTTAAAGATCATCTAATTTCAGACTTACTCCCATGGGCAGGGACATCTCCCACTAAACCAGGTTGCTCAAAGTCCCATCCAACCTGGCCTTGAATATTTCCAGGGATGGGGCATCCACAACTGCTCTGGAAAACCTTTGCCAGTGCCTCACCAACTTCAAAGTTAAGAATTTCTTCCTAATATCCAACCTAAATCTACCCTCTTGGAGTCTCTCTATCCATTAGACCAGCACTGCCCCACCATAAAGGTCACCAAATATCAACCTCCTAAACTTACTCCCTCAAGTCCTCAGTTTAATTCCTTGACTGTTATGCAGTTTATTATCCACATTTTCATACTAATATTTTTTTTTCTTATATTTTGGACATTCCTTAAGCTTTAGTTTGCACTTTGGTTCCATGCATTTGTTGCATGGAACAATGCACAACAATTTGTTCCACATTCCATTCTTAATCAGCAAATTCAACAAAGGACTAGAGTTTAATTGAACAAGGGTTACCAAGAGTCTCGATCATTTTACTGCATTGCCTGTCTAAAAGTAAAAAACTTATTCTTCACTGCTTTTAATTGTTGTTTCCAAAAACCTGATAAACCACTAAGTTTTCAGACTAGTGCCACTTCATAAACAGAACCAAGGCAAGTTTTTAGCAAAATATAATAATTTTAGCAGCTGATGTCTCAAATTCAGTTCTAAGACAGCCATCCAACTCTTGCTTAGGCATTTTAGCCGTCAAGGTATTTCTGCACTTGTTGCTTGTTCAGATAACATCTCCATAATGATACACCCAGTGGAGCTTTATTCCAGGTTCATTTCATTTCTACATTTGTTATCACCAATTGTAACACCCAACTAATTACATTTGACTTTTCAAAGATCACAAATGCAACTCTTCCCTTCCAGCAGTACTGCAGTATTTTAAGACTAGTCTAAAAGACAAGGTAACAGTCTGCACAGTATTTTGGTAGTCAAAGACATCAGTTTTCAAATTAACTACCTTTTACTATCATTTCTCTACATTAAAAAAAAAAAAAAAAAAAAAAAAAAAAAAAAAAAAAAAAAAAAAAAAAAAAAAAAAAAAAAAAAAAAAAAAAAAAAGGAAAAACACTAACACTGCACCTCTTCAAAGTGAGAAGTTACCACAAAATGCCAAGTTCCTATTCATTCTACTTCTCAGAACCATTCTCATTTCACCTTGGAAGGAACCTCAAGAGGACACCCAGTCCAGCTTCCTATAAGCAGGCTCAACCATTGCAGCCAGGGCACTGTTTTGGCCAGTCAGGTTTGGCAACCTCCCTGGGCAACCTCCTCCAGTGACAGACTGTGTTCATATTGAGAGCTTTATTCCTTACATGAAATCTGCACCACTCTTGTTTGTGTTCCTACAGGAAGTAGGTATTTGCAAGTGTCCAAATTGAAGACCAAGATGTTTCCTATTACAATCCGAGTAGGAGTTGCCACACACCTCATGACTCAGAATAACATCAGTCCATTGTGAGATGCTCCACCCAGGGGGAGGAGCTAGGCATTCCCACCTGGATAAATCCAGGGATTTCTAGACAGAGAGGCAGCCTTTCCAAAGGTTTCCAAGAAGACACAGCAACCACATCTGCCATTCCAAGAGGACTGCAGCCACTCCAATTTGGACTGCTACCAGCACGCTGGCCAGAGGGGTGTCAGGTTGTATTCTGGCTTTGTCAGTTGTCTTCCTTTTGTAACATTGCATGTATTTTTGTCTTTTTCCCTTTTCCCAATAAATTGTATTTCTGACTTGGAGTCTCTCACTGGTTTTGCTTGCAAACCAGAACAGCAAGCAAATGAAAACAAAGTTGGTATGGAGCTGGCAAAAGGAAGATGCACATACGTGCCTTCAAACGGGCATGCAAATACTTCCAGTAAAATCCAGTCAACTAGATAATCAGGCATTTCTCGAGTTTTCAGAAAAAGAGGAATGTTAGAAGATCTACAGAGAAAACAGCTGTATTTTAGACACCAGATAATCCCTGGTGCAAATCTCCATATGTGTTCCTAAGTGGATGGCCTTTGCCTGTTGCTCAAATAACTGCTTTGATCAGGGAAATTATGAAAGACTTATGGAACTTTGTCACTTCATAGTACCCGCCTTGGAAATGGAATAATTTTTAAGTTTTTGTAACTTTTATATAGTAACTGAGAAAGCTTTTTATAAAGACTTAGGTCTTTTTAAAAGGTTTGCACCTTTTATAGAACCTCTATAAAAACATGTTCGGAACATTTGGGTTGGAGTATTTTGGGAGGCTTGTTTACCAACTTGTATTTCAGCAGTTGTCAGAACTGGCAAGAACCAATAAAAAGTTATGTGTTGCAGCCAGAATATTGTTAATAAGATCCAGGGTAAGGATGCAAAAAGGGCCTTTGCATGGTATCCACAGATTTATTCAGCCACATGGTGAGATGTTCAGGGTCCAAGGCACACTCATGAGGGGAATCCTGGTTTCTCCCTGTCCCCCGAGGTACGGGCTGAACTGTGCCCTCGGGCAGTACAAGGATGATGGCAAATAGGGGAATAGTGAGGGAGTGGCTGAGGGACATAGTAACAGGGGAAGGAGCTAATGAGGTCCCAAAAGCCCCTGAGGGAAGCCTCCTGTGTCTCCCCAACCCAGGGAATGCCTCCCAGGGTCCCCAAATTATTTTCATTATAGTAAACTCATCAGAAGCTGACAATTCAGTATTAGTTCAGAAAACAATAAAAACTGCTTCATTCCTAAAAGTGGAATGAAAGCATGTGATTTATTTTCAAGAATCCAAGGAACAAGAACACTGGATGGTAAAGAACGGCTAGGAGGACAGGCTCACTAAGAAACTGCCTAGAAGAATCAGAGTTTGGCCATGCCAAATTTTACCCTCATCAATTTTGTTTTGTTTCTGATAAGCTTACATGTCCTCTAAGAAGTCACATCTGGGTATCTGCTCAACCATGCATAACATTTCCTGGACTCTTACCTCTGCCTTCTGAAAGCCACCTAACCGGATTTACAAGTACATCAGCACCATCAAAGCTTATCCAACCTATGGAGGGAGAGGGAAGAAAGCTTCCTAAAGAAAAATTCGATTGATTAGAATGGATGCTATTCTTCTTCATTGTTTAATCTGCTGTAATTTAAAATATATTCTAATAAAACTTACAAAGAGCAGTTCTGGTCAACAAAGCAGTTTATCTTCTTATATTCAAATTTCTATTCAAGGGCAACTTAATAGAAATCTCAGGTACCTAAAAAAAAAATTAACTCTTTTTTGTCCAGCTATATAAGAAACTTCAGGGCATTTCAGATCATAGATCTTTTAAGAGTCACAATAATTCTGCTCTTTTAATGGCTATAAATCGCATACCTATTAAAAAGGTCATCTTGTCCAACACAAAGATCACCATCATTCAACAGCTGCTAACACACAATGAAGAGAAGTAAGATATGTGATGGTATAGCTTGAGATGCAGCACAACAACCTGCATCTTGCCTCACGTATCAAAGCAAATTTAGATCATTAACTTCAGCTACTGTGGTTTAAATAATATTGTGATGGTTCATTAACACACAACCAAGTCCCTGCTATCCAAGACTAGTGAGAAGAGGCTAAGGGACACTACCATTTAAACTCATGGAGCCTTCCTAAAGCACTAACACAATACTTTGACTTCCTTGGGAGTCCCTTCTGGGCATTGGCCAGAATCTGAACTCAGCAGGATCCAAGTTCATCCTGGGTGATGTAAGCATCTGCATGGAGCACACTCAAATCCTGCAGGATTTATCAGCCCCATGTGTATGTCTGCAGAAGAGTCACACCCCGAGTGCAGCTATTCCAGGAGGAAGTACCACGGCATTTGTGCTGCACTTATCAGCTTGGTGTGACCTGAAGCCTTTGCACTTTACAAATGCACACAACATTTGCAGCATAGACAATCCAAAACCTTGACAAGTCAGAAAGGGGACAGAACTGACAACCCCCACACCAGGGCTATGCAACAGGTTTCAGGAGGACTAAAGTGTTCAAACACAAACCAGCTCCACCAGCACTCAGTAAGACTTAGACCAAATCCAAGAATTCCCAATGGAAAAACACAAGGTGCAACAAAAGTGTGTGTGCTCTTTCCTGTTTCTAAAGATTTGCTGTAATTTGTAAGGGATGTTGTTTTTCAGAAAATTTCCATGAAACAAATCACAGAAATTATTAAAGCTTACCACATACACTATACCTTATAATAGGTCTTATTACAGCTAATCATATTCTTTATTTCTTACTCAGTTCCTCTAAGTATTGTGCTAAAGAAATTCCGGTTTTTTGATCAAAGAGCAAGTTTTTTAAAAGGTGCACTATGATTTCTAGAATATAGATTCAATATCCCAGAAGTCTTTTTAAGTATTTCATTATAGCTCTTTACAAGTGTTTTTAACAAACACAGATTTTTGGTTGACAGATAACTGTTAAGGACAACAACCAATTCCTTCCCAATAACTAACATGCCAAAACTTTATCTGCTGAAAGCAAGCTGTTAATAACTTCGACTATACAGGACTCTGAACTGCTGCAGCATAAGTTACACACGTATCTTTTATTCCATTTACAAACCAGGACAACAGGAACTCCCAATTACCTGCTATCAACCACCAAACAAGTGCCTTCAAACGGTTTTCACGGCTTACGTCGTTTGGCACGTGTTTGTTTACATTATCCATAAACTTTTTTTCTACATGCATGCATTGCTGAGGCACCAGAAGACTATTCAACGCAATTTTGCATCCCATTAACTGATTCCATTAACCG